ACAGAAAAATACGGCAGAAACAAGCGTGTAACAGCATCTGTGCCCCGTGCCCAGGGTATAACGCTCAGCATGCCGGTCACTGTTTCCCTTAGGAAATATCCTGTCTTGGACCGATTCAGATGAGCACAGGCCAAGGCAGGAACAGTGGTGGGGGAAGGGACAAGTGCTGGCCCTTTTCTAAAGTTGTTCTGTAGTATCAAGCATGCTCAGGAGGTGGAGAGCATCATCTGCTCTCTAATGCCAGCTTTCAAAGCAATTTTCATCCGTTTTCTTAGACACACTGATTCCCTCAAGTTTCCAGTGAGTTTTAAGCAAAGCAACACCAACTGCCTTTAAGGAAAACCAGAGTCATTTTAGTATTTCAGCGTAGTTTTTAAAAGCAATTATTGCCTACGGAAAGTTCACCAAGGCTATCACGTTTGAGGAAACAAACAGCAGTGATCTTCCTGTATTTGCAGCTTTCCTCTAAAATCAATATCCCTACATGTTATTCTGCCAAGAACCAGGAGATGGTGCTGCTAAATTTCGCTATTATTTCATTTATCCGGAGAGCAGCCACATCCTGTAAAACGCCTCTCCCTGTTTGATAGAATCATAGAATGGTCTGAGTTGGAGGGGACCTCAAAGATCATCTAGTCCCAACCCCCCTGCCATGGGCAGGGAAACCCTCCACTACACCAGGTTGCTCAAAGCCTCATCCAACCTGGCCTTCAACACTTCCAGGGATGGGGCATCCACAACTTCTCTGGGCAACCTGTTCCAGTGCCTCACCACCCTCAGAGTGAAGAATTTCTTCCTTATATCTAATCTAAATCTCCCCTCTTTCAGTTTAAAGCTATTGGCTCTTGGCCTATCACTACATGCCCTTGTAAAAAGTCCCTCCCCAGCTTTCCTGTAGGCCTCCTTTAAGTACTGGAAGGCTGCAATTTCTTTCCCCGTCATCCCAAGCCCTTTAGTATCGGACACATATCCTGACTGAAATGGATTTGCCAGTCTCATCAGCCGACACGTAAGTAGCAGCACTGATGAAAGGCATCTTGCACTTCATTCTAATAAAGCTCCTAAATTAGAGGGATCAGCTGTGCAGCAGCTGCTGAACACACGCATGGCAGCACAGTAAAGTTACACAGATCCTTTGGGCGGAGGATGCTCCGCAACTTACTTTTAACTGTTGCTTTTAATTGTGCCAAAAGGGCCCTTGAAGCCCTTGGACATCAGCTGTGTTGGGTTTAAAGCAAGAGGGAAACGAGCACCATCACATAAACAACAGTTCTGGTGTGTCTGGGGACAGCCGCTTGGCAAAACTGTTTGACTTTGTAAGACTGGCTGCTCTGTTTTAGGATGAAAAAAGTTATAAACAATTTATAAAAGGGGAAATACATCTCTTTTCAGCTTTGAAGCACGATTCAGGACCTCTCTCTAGTCTTCATAGACCTAATTAGTTTTTAACCCAGATGCAAGCGTTACCCACTTAAAATCAATCTGAATCTTCAGTAAAAACATAAGCACGTTCTGAACTATTATCCCAACCTGAATATTCAAACCTTCTTCTCTCTCTCCCTAGTTTTATAAAACTCTCCTTCTCCACATCAGCAGGTTAGCAACTTGAAGGAAGTGTGATGGAAGAAATGCAACGGCAACAAAGAAATGGGAGGAGGTGAAGGAGGAACAAGAAGCATCTTCTGCTGTTCCAGTGACTTTCTGCAATTTGTTCAGACAACGGCTCACTCAGAAGCGAAACCCATCATGTCATCCCATCTTCCTGCCCTCCAAGAGAAAAAACATACTATGATAGCATGTGAGCAACCGTGTTAACAAGGACTGAAAGCAGAAAACAGGATAACTAAGGGATATGAAGTGGTCTTGGCCCAAACTGGGTTTTATCAAAACATAAAACAACTGCCAGCACACGGATTTGGTGTATTTGTAGAATATTTTAATTTTTAGCTGAGAAACACACAATAGGGTAGAGTTTAAGGCATGCGATCAGGCACGAAACTTCTCTTGCTTGCTTTTTGTGCTCATACCTTCAGTGTAAGTTCTATGAAAACGAGTAGATCCTATCTTTAATCTGTACGTAAAGCAACTCTGAGTACTCACTTAACAGCCTGAGGTTCGACGCAATGTTTACAGTTGCTCCTGGAAAGCAGGATTTACTTATAGGGAAACTCAGTTCTTTTTCTGTCTGTGCAATTTGTTCTGTGCCACATACAGAAAACGTCATATATTTCACAAAGTAAGTTTGATCAGTGATAATGTCAACAGAAGCAAAATAACCTTCTCCACATATATACACACTGCAGTTACAGACACCTGCTTGCACGGTTTTACTTTGATTGCTCTTTTTCTGGAAAATACAGACAACCTAATGGACAGGAAAAAAAATTTGATTTCTGCACCTTGCAAGTCTAGTTGTTGGTTTTCTTCTAAAAACACAAACTAAAACCAGATACCACAAAAAAGACTGCCAATGGGGCAATGAACGTTCTACTGCTGAGGCAAAGGAGCAATTCAAAGATTAAGAATTTTGTGGATTTAGGTACCTTTATCTTAGAAACATCACAGGTACTGAAATAAACATCATAGGCATAGAGATGCTGCTAAAAAAGACATTTCCATTTGAGTAACTTGTGGTTGGTAGTAGTGTACAGCACCTTTGTGTCTACTCCTACAGGGCATTCGCTCTTAACAAGCAAATAATACAGTACCTGTCAGGGAGCCAAGGAAAATGTTGCTTATAAGCGGCTACAAACAAGTATTTTCTTTCTTTAATGCCCTACCATTGTCCATACCGCTTCTGGTTTTATTTTTTATTATTATTATTTTAAAACATGGTAGTCAAAGACTCTTCTCCCTTACTCATGCATTTTTAAAATCAATATGATTAAAAATGAATCTACTGTGCATCCATGCAATGAATTTGGTAAGAGCTCATTCTGCATTTTTCCTATGAAGGCCCCCAACCTGCATTTTTCTGTATCACTAAGTCTTCTGCTGCAACAATCGGGAAGAGACAAATCCCAACTCCTAAATGCATTTAAGCAGCCCACTCCCAAGGACTTCAGTGGTATCAGAAGTTCCATTCTCTGCTGTAGCAGGTGTTAAGGATTCCTGCACATGCTTACTTAGTTCCTATTCAGCAAAACATTGAAACACAACTTAAGCATGAGGTCAAATACCACCGAAAGTGCCTGAAGCAAGATTATGCCTTCAACATTAAATCTTTTGAGAGCATAAAAGGAAAATGAACTCAGTGCATAAGAATTACAACTGAAAATGTAGATACGGAAGCACTGACCTTTTCTTTGATTTCCTAAAAATGAACAGGCCATTTAGCTCTGTGGCAAGAATCAGAACTCCTGTTCCCACTCTTAGATCTAACTCGGGAAGAGCTCATGGAAATAACTTTCTTTACATGTTACCTGCAAGAGTGGCTCAGAGTTAGAAGAAATAATCAAGTCTACCAAGTGAGTTTGCATCCTCAAGAATTACAATCTAGACTTAGTTTTAAAATGTTGATAGCAACAGTAATGTATAAAACATACCTGGCCTTTCTGACAAAAAAAGAACTACAAAATGATCAAAAGCTAACTGTGCATTGAGATTAGTCAGCACATACACAGAAGTTCCAGAAAAGCAGTGCAAAAAATGAAAGAGTAAATAATGAGAGAACGTGAAACAGCTAGACTACACACGGCAAAGCTTGTAAATAGAGCACGTAGCTAATACCCTTTCCGAACTTAAACTGCAATTTAGTAACACTGCAGGGAATTAATTCAAAAATACATGAACACATGAAAAATCGTATGCCAAAATGTGTTTTTTGGCCCTGACATAGTTCCAGGACAATGCGTAAGGCTCACTGGGAGCATCTTCCTTTACCAGTGCAACATTTCATCTTTGATTGCTCTGGGCAGAAATAAATTCCCCTTTCTCTCAAGCTTGATGTGATAACGGCTAAACCACAACATCAACCCCCTGTTCCATGGCAGCTATCAAAAGTTACAATTAGGAAACCCTGAAATACTTCTCTGGGGCAAACAAAATTAGGCAGGATGACTTTAGCAGAAATATTTTAGTAAAACAAAGCCAGATTTTTTGTTTGGTCCTTTGCCAAAGTATTCTTGCCACATGGAGCGAGATTACTCAGGAGACCTAGGAGAGACCAGATGCTTTCCAATACTGGCATCTGACACTGATGTTATGCTGATATGCAGGACATGCCCCAGTCGAGCTCTGCTGTAATCAGTGTGCCTGGAGTGGGATATTAACTCTCAGGTTTCCCAGTGGCTAAATTCTTCAGAGATTCTATCTTAGAGCTTTTATTCCCAATGGAATACAGGTCATTCCATCCTCTGAAGAAGGTGATTGTCTATTGCAAAAAAATGGGGAAAAGGTAAGAAATACAGAAATTAAAATCATGACTAGCCAAGTGCTTTGATTCAACAATAAAGGCAAAGCAAAACAGATTTCACCTCAAAAGACCAAAGTTTAAATGGAAGGGACTGGATTCTACTGAGCTTAACCGTGAAGGATGCTGTCCCTTCATGATTAAGTTTGCTGCGAATGAGTCATCCACAAAGTAACACGAAATGTACTCCTCAATAGCTTCTTCCAACAATTCAGGATGTAAAAGCTGGTCGCAAATAACAATTACAAGGCAAAAATAAAAAACGAACCACTCTGTCTCCCATTTCTCATCATCATGACTCCTCGCAAAAGAAAACACAAAAATTGAAAGCATTTAACTTGTGAAATATGAAATGCAATTCGTGCTATGGAGGAATACCTCAGCCTTTTAGCTAAGAAACAGTCTTTCCACAGGTGCTTGGTTATTAGCTATCATGCAAAAACAATTAGTCATTCAAGCAATTAAGAAGGTAAGTATCTCCTAAAAAGGTTTCGAGCTTTCCAAGCCCTAAATGCAACTGCTATAAACCTAGACTGTTCCTGAGTGTAATTTAGTTACTGTATTGTCTCTCCTGAAGAGATTTATTGTATCATGTGTTGTAAATTCTTGATGCTCTTTTAGCTGCAGTCTGAGCCTCTGGTGAATTCTCCTCTTGCTCCTCAGACTTCTTATGGTTTAGGAATACGTCTGACTTTAAGAAGCGGCTGTAGCTGTCATACTTCATGAGATTGAATATCTGGTAAGAGGGGGGAAAAAAACCACAAAAACAATGACCTAAGTAAAACTATATTTTAAATGAGAAAGACAGTATGTTAATTCTAATGTATTTTTGTTCTGTTAGTACTAAAGCATTACTAAAAAGCATGACATTAAAACACACTTCAAACTCTCAAAAGGGGTTGCATGTAGTAAACAATATTGTAGGTTCCACGGTCACTGTTCTGCAATAATGTCCGTATCAGTTAAGGAATCAGATTACGGTTTTCACAATAGCCAACTTTGAAATCCTTCCACTGAAAAGCGGGAGGTTGCATGCCATGGTCACCAGGTAGGATTTTACAGCTGATGATCAGATAACTGCAGGTGTGGACAAGCCAGGACATTAGCTGGTCCCCTCCTACAGCAGCCTTAGCCCTGCAGAGCCATTGGGAGTGAAACCTAGCAGGGGTGTCCTTCTGGCAGGGTAACTGGAAGATATTCAGAGGGATGAAGTGGAGCTGAAGAAAAAGAGGTACCTTGGGGCTGTTCAGCCTGGAGAAGAGAAGGCTCCGGGGAGATCTTATTGCAGCCTTCCAGTACTTAAAGGGGGCCTACAGGAAAGCTGGGGAGGGACTTTTTACAAGGGCATGTAGTGATAGGACACGGGGCAATGGCTTTAAACTGAAAGAGGGCAGATTTAGATTAGATAAAAGAAAGAAATTTTTCACTCTGAGGGTGGTGAGGCACTGGAACAGGTTTCCCAGAGAAGTTGTAGATGCCCCATCCCTGGAAGTGTTCAAGGCCAGGTTGGATGAGGCTTTGGGCAACCTGGTGTAGTGGAGGGTTTCCCTGCCCATGGCAGGGGGGTTGGGACTAGATGATCTTTGAGGTCCCTTCCAACTCTAACCATTCTATGATTCCATGATTCTACTCTTGAATGTTATAGAATAGCTCATTACACATGCAGAACACTGGATAACTAAGAAATGCCTCTAAATAATCTACACAAATACTGAAACTGCAAACTGAATCTAGACTGAAACAACTGGTTTAACTAATGTTTCTTAAGCTTACACCAATCCTCCTACCCTTTTCAGATTACTACACAACTAAATGCCAAGACGGGTCTCAGGCCAGATCAGAAACACTGCAGGTACCAGCCACAAAAAGCTGATCTGGCACAGATGCAATTTGCCAGTTAAAGCGTGGTTTCAAATTTGTGATGGATTAAACTTGTGCCATTGGGCTTTTCACGCGCCCGAGAGTCACCCTTATTCCCACAGCCAGTGTACAGCCAGCACAGAAGCGTGAAGCCAGCACTGAGTACAGCTTTTCTCTCCCAGGGCTGGAGCTTAGGCCTGTCCCTCAACACAACTGCTTTCTCTTCTATTTACACGCATTTTGGACAAAAAACCTAGAACTCATTTGGCGCTTTCTGAAAACAAGAGGGCTTGGGAAAGGAGCCTGGAATTTGTGCAGGTGTCAAGGTTAGGAATATATTTTGCTTGGTCTTGAAACAGAAGGGAAGGAAAAAAGTAAACCTCAAAACTATAACGAGGCAAAAGGAAAGCCTACATCACCCTCTGCCTTTTATTTCACTGGTGGAGCCCCTCTGAGTCATGCCTTATGACAGATTACATTTCATGGTACTCGGAATAACTACATTTCCAAGAGGAATTTCTGGATTCTGACCTGCATGTGTGGATAATCCATGCATGGACAACTGGAGTTTCACCTTCATGGGCCTCATTTCTAACTGATAGTAAAACCAGGTAATACAACTGTTTGTTAGGAGGAAAAAAAACAATCACCTCAAATTGCTTTTTCCTTTCCACACCCTCAAGGAACCTGGACAAACAAAGGCAAACACACAAAACTTGACTGTTCTTGTCTGTGCGTTTGCTGAAATATCCCCCTTGCAAATAAATTACATGAAGCATTTTACTAACCACTGTTTGTTTACATATCTAAATATTTAAATTCACGTTTAAAACAGGGAAATCTTGCTTTGTACACTACATATTGGAAGACTAAAAATCCCAAAACACCCTCTCGATGTAGACCCACATCAATGCAGTTCAGCAAAGTCAAAGTACACCTCCTGGAACTGGCCAACTACAATATAATTAAATTTATCCAACTAGCTCAAGGAAAAAAAAAATAAATCGTAAGGAAGACATTGCCTGTCAAAACGCCGTAAGTCAGTGTTAAGAACTTAGACCCCCTCTTGCTCCTGGTATAATTTGAAGCATCTCCCAAAGAAAAGGAGCACTGTAAGATCAAAATCTTCTGGAGTCTGGTCAGCCAAAAACACAGGACAGACAGATTTTTTGCATGACGTGCATGCAAAAGCAGAATTGTCTTTTTCCCTCCCCTCCTCTCATCACTTCCGTTGAGCAGGAACATTTACCCCTTCAGCATTTTGAAATCTACAGATTCCTACGAACCACTCTAACATCACTTCATTCAGCATGAACAACTGCCTCCAAGCTATTTGTTTAAGGCCATCCCATCAACACAAAACCACATCCCACAAGTAGCCCCATTTAAATCAGCAGGTCTCTGGAGAACTGAAGTGCTAGTTACCAGTAATGCTGGAGACCAGATCGGGGCTTTCAAGCTCTGCTTTTTTATACTTCAGACACATAGCGTCTGCAATAGTTAAGCCTGTTCTTCAGAGAACAAATTATACCACTCTTCCTAACTTTATAAGGATTGAAAACTAGGGAAGACCATAACTCTTCCTGAACTATTATCTAACAGCAATAAACAAAAACTTCAAGTAGTGGAAACCTGCAACAACCCACAAATGCTCTGCGTTTGGTTTTAAAAGTTCACAGACTTTCTTCCCACACTAGTGGGATCCCTCTGTCACTGGTCTAGCATGTCTCCAGTTCAGGTAGTACTAATCTCGAGCTGTTCATGTGCATGCTCATTTGTAAAACTGCAAAACATTTTAACTCCACTAGTCTCTCCAGCTTGGCTCTCACAACCACTCACCCTGAGCTGCTGTGCTTAGATTTACCAGAACATTTTCTTTCCCTTCCCTCAAGTCAGAAGTTCTTCCACAAAAAACTTTGCTTCTTGAGTGGAAGAAATGGAGTTCCAGACATTTCCACTGCAAATTACTTGGAACCTGCTTGAAGGACAGCAGAGCCTTTGCTCCTCAGACCACTTCAACTGACCCAGCCACTGCCCAACTAACATATTCAGTACCTGATGTGAAATGGGTCAAAACCACTAGTTAAATCAGCGAGCTGTTTCTCCACAAAGAGCTGAATGGAAAATAAGGTAGTCCTGAGGATGGTACAGAAATTAAAAATACTACAGACTGCAAAGGCTGGAAAGCCACAGATAAGAATGACTCACTTCATAACTTATGCTTTAAAATCAGCTAAATATCAAGAAAATTTACCACCAAAAGACATGCCTGCAAAACGTCACCTAATCTCTATCAGACCTCCCAAGATCTGTCGGAAAAGGCAAAGCAGATACCAATTCCTTTTTTAAGTTCTATGTGTTACAGAAGAGAAGGCTTTTCAGGAAATTGCATTATATTCATATTGATATAAATAGTAAAACAAAGCAAAGCGAAGAATCTTGAGCTCTCAAGGAAACCAGTGGCAACTACGGAAACAAATATCAGCAATGACTCAAAGCAAGTGAATACAGAGGAAAACGTAGGCACAACGTTAGTCAGCTGGGTGATTCTCAAGCTACTGGCAGAGAAACCCAGCAGAAAACTTCATCCAGGAGAGTTCTGGACTGGAATTAGTCTCTCAACTAACTGGGCCTAGCTAGATGGGGCCAAGAACCCGGGGTACGGTGCATTCACCCTCAGAGCAGCTGCATTAATATCTCCCATACAGAAGCAACCCAGCTCAGTGCCCACCTATTCAATCCATGCCACAGGCAGCAGTAGGCAGACTCCCAACTTTCCTTTATTAGCTCATGCTTAGAAAGCAGCGTCCATTCAAAGCAGACAAAAACTAAAGAAAGTTGTTGAAGAAAATAACTTTACCTGGTCCTGGAGCTTCTGAAACATGAGAGGGTGGGGGGTCTCCAAAATGGTCTCATTTAAACGGGACTGCCCTTCAACATTGACTTGGGAGGAAGCTTTACTGGACAGGAAAGTCATGTAAATTTCTTTAGCTTTTTCTTGCATCTGCAAAAGGACATATTTATTTAAAGATTTAGTTGCTGTGGGAATACTCTCTGTATTTGTTAATGTTTTGTTGGAGACTGCTCTGGGTCACTTACTTCTTGAGGTTCACATCTTCAAACCAAAACATAGTCTGAATTAAAAAAGAAAACAAGTAACAAAACAAATACACATAGATGAGCTTATTCGTGTGTGTTCACTTGTACTGGAGGAAAAACATCTCTGCAGGCCAGCTCCTGCACTGACGTAAGTGGAAGCCACCAGTATTCAGCACTTAGGTTAAACAGCAGGTTGTGATGTTTGAACCTGACAATCCAGCGCAAAACTGCTCAGCATCACCAACTAGACCTTGTCTTCACTATTTAGAAGACTATTGTTACTAACAGATAAACAGCATGTGCCAGGAACCCAGAGGGAAAAACACCGTGGAAACTTACCGCAAGGCAAAACTGAGCAAAGTTAGTGTGCAATCCATGCTACTGCCAATAACCTTGTTGTAACTACATTTTTACCTCTGGGCAGCTCACATGCAGCACTGACTACATCATTAAAAAAAAAAACCAAGAAGTACTTTTTTGGCTAATGGTAAAGATACGACTCTCAAGAGCCTCTGAAAGCTGATAAATAAGGGTAGGCGTGACTCACACGAAGCAGTTTGTTAGCATTTGCCCCGATTTCTGCAACCCTGTTTCAGTGTTCTTCTCTTGATAAATGAGTAATGGCGATAACATTTTGACCCTACTTCACATCTCTAAGCTTCTAGGCAGTAAATGACTGGCCACAATTGTCCAAAATTAAATACTAGCTCCCCCTTGACCAGCAGGTCAGATAAGAGAGAGCCAGTGGGTGAGAAGAGAGCCAAACCCCGGCAGCAGGCAAACCTCCCTGCTGCAACCTGAACTCTGCACACCAAAAACACGGCCCGCGGGGCACCAGGCACCATACCATCCTGAGCCACTGGTACTGGTCGGTCTTCCCCACTGTACATCTAATGAGCAACCACATCCCCAGACCAGCACGAACTGAAGGGCTGCATCTTTGATGGGAAGTGGGCTTGAAGAAGGAAGCATTTAAACCCTTACCCATGAAGGAGTCAGAATTTCTTTCATGTTTTACAGCTGAGAATCAACATTTGGAGATAATTAGAAGAAAAGCTACATGTGTTTGTCAATTCAGAAGGCCTAAAGAGTTAACTCTCTCACTGCTGAAGGGGACACATGCTTTCCAGTATTCTTTTTTAAACCAGATCATTCATGACTGTCATGATGGAGCCACACTCTTCTCACTGGCATCCAATGATAGGACAAGGGGAAATGGATATAAGCTGGAACATAGAAGGTTCGACTTAAACATGAGGAAGAACTTCTTCCCAGTAAGGGTAACAGAACACTGGAACAGGCTGCCCAGAGATGTTGTGGAGTCTCCTTCTCTGGAGCTGTTCAAAACCCGCCTGGACGCGTTCTTGTGTGATCTGATCTAGGCGGTCTTGCTCAGGCAGGGGGATTGGACTAGACGATCCTTTGAGGTCCCTTCCAATCCCTAACATTCTGTGATCTGGTGGGTAAAACATCATGTGTCACGTGCATTAGAATCATAGAATGGTTTGGGTTGGAAGGGACCTCAAAGATCATCTAGTTCCAACCCCTCTGCCACGGGCAGGGAAACCCGGCACTACACCAGGTTGCCCAAAGCCTCATCTGACCTGGCCTTGAATACCTCCAGGGATGGGGCAATTAGGTCACAACGAAGCGTTTTTAACAATTTCTGATCTTTCCAGTTTCACAGATCAGGGAGGACTGGGTCAGCCATGTCTGTTCTAAATGAAGAATTAATCCAGCTGATGAGAGGTTGACTGCTTTAACTGGTAAAGACGATACCCGAATGCAGACACAGTAAAGGTACCTTTAACTATCATCACATGAGCAAGCATAAGTAATTGCACTGTCTGTCAGTCCTACCTGAATAACTTTTGAACCTGCTGTCCAATTTCACCCACATTTAAGAGAGGGGCAAAGGACTGAGAAATAATTACCCTCCTTGGAAAGAGTAGCAAGACAAAGAAAACGGAGAGAAAAAGCAGCACATGCACCAAGAGAAAAGCTGCAGTATATGTTCAAAAGTTATCTACTCTACTTGAACTGTCAGCATGTACTTAACAGCTGGCTAATCGAGGCACACATAGCTCCACGTCAGCCGCAACGCAAGGTGCTGCCTGCCCAAGGAACACAGGAGCAGGCTGGACACTGCAGAGAAAGAGCAGAGGAAGGCTTGAGGGGAAACACGAAACTAGAAGTAATGTGAGGAAGTTTAAAGAACACGGGGGGAACAAGAGGATTGTGTGGGAGGCTGGTGAGATGGGGAGGATCTCTGGATTTTGCAGGGAAGAGCAACAAAGAAAGGAAGTGAAAGAGCTGTGGTAGGGAGAGGGGTCACTGGAGAGACGCAGGAGACCTGACTTGACAGTAATGGGGAAATATGAACACGCACAGCTAAATGTTACAAGTCCTGCTGCATGTGGAACAACTGGTGTGCTACATCTATGCTTCAGTAGTAGAGCATCAGTTTAACTTCAGTAATTGTTTTTTTTTAGAGAAAGTGCAGTTAAAGCTGCCCGCACTTTATACATCTCTCAAAGGACATTCAGGGAGAGGTCAGGTTCGGGCAGAGGAGACAGCGACGTTCCCCATTGAGTGGGTGACATTCTTTGTTCCGCGTCAGCCTGAAATTAATGCTTCAGCACAGGGGACTCGACTCTGGAATTCAAACAACACTTAAACTGGGATCTTTTTCACAGGTGGTTACTAAAGGATTTTTGGCACTTTCCACTTACATCTGTGTGCTCTCCCCAGCATCCGTGCCAAATTCCCATTTGGAGTACAAAGTTCTGTCTACAGAAATCCCCCTCACCATTTCAAGTGGATGCAATATTCTTTCCCACTTCCTTTCCTAAGGTCACATTCAGCTCTCAAGCATGTGTGGTTCCCAAATGAGGTGAATGGAAGTCCCAGACGCTCATCAGAACAGGCTCCCGCAGTTAGCAGCTGCGCAGCATTACCCAGTCCTGCTTAACCATTGCCACGTTCCACATGGGAAGCCACAGAAGAAACTCTTGAATAGGTATATTTTGTTCTGAAATTGTTGCCTACAAAACTTCTTGACAGGGATATTTTGGTGGGTTTCAGCAACAGCTGGAAAGATTCCCTGTTGTTTGAAGCATTTATTACAATCTGTAATTTATTTTTAAAGCTCAGCTGCAAGAGAAGAAACATTTAAATGCTGGGAGGTAGCACAATGGACATGATGTTTATTTCATTAACAGTCACAAATGCGACAGCATATGACTAACTCCAATAAAATATTTAAAGTTAAAGTTTATTCATTTAACCCCACCACTCCCATTTCAATAATTAAATATGTGTCCTAAAACGAAGACCATATGGATGGAAGCAGAGCTCACTACTACAAGCGGACTTGACATAATTCCTTCCTCAATTTTTGCTAAAAATTACATTTCTATTTTAATTTCAATTTTAAAGGAATGATAAAGAAAGAATATCCTATTTTTAAAACTACAGAGGTGTGCCTTGAGCTGCAGGGCGGAGTTTGTGCTTTCATGGTGCAAGAAGACAGGCTGAATCCAGTTCATCTAAAACCTGCCTAGGCCAGTGATGTAGTCTCCTTGCTGTCTAGCTTTGCACATGCCAAAAATCTCCCCTGCTCCCTGAAACATGCATGCATTTTGTATTAGCTCCCCCAAACGAGAAAACAAACACAAACTCGTGGAGCAGTCTAATCTGAACTCCATTTCTGCCTTCTCCTGAAAGCGTTCCCACCACTAGCCTAGAGCCAATACAACAGCCAAGAGCCTGGATTCTCCTTGCCCGTACTCCCTCTGGTCCTGTGATCCAGCAATCCTGGCTGCATAGTGATTCACAGTTGAGAGGAAGGGGACAGAGAAGATATATCTGCACAGCATCTTGCAAGATCTGCCTGTGTTGGCTTGATATAAGTCAGCTTCTAGGCAGAGCCCACATGACTGTGGTTAGAGTAATGACTGAACCAAATTTAATAAGCCTTGAGGAAAGGCCCAGGATATTTTGTTAGAATGGCAATAACACAGCTAGACAGTTTGCAAACAGAAAGCAGGAGCAGGGTGAGCCTGCATCTACCTGCGAAGACCAGAAAGGACACGAGGGAAGGACAGCACATTTACTGAGCTAACCACCCTATGGTACACCAGCCTAGACAAAACCAAACACTGCTCCAGGCTGACACAGAAGGGATGACACTAACACTAGGCAAGATGGATACTTAATCCACTGACGAGGTGATGACCTTTGTGCAAGTTTAAACTGACTGAGAAAAACCTCACGCTAACACTCTCACATCAAGTAACAAAAAGTTTATCTTGCACTTTAAAAACAGGGGAAAAAAAAAATCCCATTCAGTCAGGGTTAAACTGAAATCAGCTTCATCTGACCAAAAGTCTAAGTGTCTGTGAGCTAGTTTCTGCGGTAAACCAGTTTCAACGAGAAGCAGGTTATAAAATAAGTCAAGAGCTGTTTTTAGAATACTTCATTCACATTAGATAGATACAAAGTGATTTCTGCAAGAGTCACTTCCAGAAGACAAATTCATGCCTCGTGCTACCATAAACACTGGAAAGGTTTCTATTTTTAGTGCTTTTTCTAGCTTTGTAAATTACCTAAACAAAGCCATCCATAAGCAGTAGCTATACAAACTTACTGTGAATCTGTGTCATCCTAAAGCACATTTATTCTCGCCAGCTGTAACTGCTTTGGCAGTACTGGACTCCAGACTGGCCATACTGGGTAATGATTAGTACTGAATAATTAGGCTAAATTGAACCTAGTTAAGTCTCTGTCCGTTCATTTGGCAATTCATTCAAGAATTCACTAAGCTGCTATCTTTATATATCAGTTTACTATTTCCTGTACCAGTATGTGCAACCCTGAAATAACTAAAGAGATGGAAGTCATTTAGCAAGGGAAAATATTATTCCATTGCAAAATGTGGGACCTTACAGAAGGATCTTCCATTTTCATTTCTGTTTTAAAACGCAGTTTGGTACCTGTCCAAGGAGTATCAAGAAAAGGCTACATACCTCTTGGGAAGGACACTGTAGGGTGAGCAAAGGAAAAACCTCTGCCCTGTACAAAGCAAAGGGTTCTTCCCACTTGGTCGTGGGCTGTGATGCTGCCTTCTGCTTCACCAGCTCGGAAAGTCAATTATTGTGAGGGAGCAGGGAGAGAGATCAGGCACACCTAGATCTCCAGCCCAGCACATCGAACGTACCAGCCCAGATGCGGTATGGATATTTGGGGACAAAAGAAAGGAAATGCTTTGTCACAGACTGACAACAGCGGGATCTGCAGCTCACGCCGCAGCAAAGCCAGGTCAGTGGGACCGATGGTGCCACACTTGCCCAGACACGAGGTGGCTTCCAGCCCAACCCAAGCAGGCTGCAGCTGGAACATCACCTTACCAGCAAGCAGAGAGGAGAATTCCCAGCCTCAGTTCAGCTACTGATCCCGCTGCCATCACAGTGGCATCCAGCAGTTACCTCTTTCACCCCACCTCATACACTTTATTCCTCTTTCTGCCCTACATCTTACAGAAAAACAGCCCAATTAGTTGTTCTGTTCTGCAGACTACTTGCATGCGTGGACCTTAATGAGGGAGAGAAGCAGCAAAGTACACAAAGCTGAAGTAGTGCTACACATGACAAAGTCTGCTGTCACACTGAACGTTTTCATCCTCTTGCAAAAACTATTCTTAAACAAGAAAATTGTTTTGAGGGGAATGCTTTTTCAGTGCAAAATAGAGAATATTTATAGAAAGTAGACTCCTCTTCCCTCTCAAAAACACATTGTGCTGAAAATCCAGGCGGTTCTTTTTTGTTCAACATCTCCTGGGAAAGTTTCAGCTGACAATATTTGACTGGCCTTAAGAGAGGAATCCTGCAGTTTGGACGCAGCTCTCTTACATTTGCACTTTATAATGGCCCCAATAGCCCAGTTCCTCCATCTGATTCCTATTCCCTGATGTTTCTGATGTTACTCAAAGCTCATATAGTCCCATTTGAAGCAGGTTTAAGCTGCATTTTCCCAGCCTCACGTCCTCGTTAATTTGACCAGAAAAGTGCAAAAAGGGCTGTGCATTTGCACCCACTACCTTCTAAAATGCTCCCTCTGGCAACAAGAGCTGCACACATGTGAAAAGCATAAAGGTGGGTTTTCAAAAAATGGGCTTATGGGATTTAGGAGTCTAACTCTCAAGGACAGTGCTGCTCAGGTGGAGTTTTGAAACTACTTCACTTCATGCTCACAGAATCCTCATCTCAAAGACCAAATAAATTCAGAATTTCTAAAAAAAAAAAATAAAAAAATCACAAAAACTTTTCCAGAAACAAGCAAACAAAACACGGTACATATTTTAGGCCTGACTCTATAGTTTTCAAATCCTGAATGTGAAAGTGGATCCTGTGTTCCTGGTGGATCTAAATGTAGACCAAGATTGATGCAGTGGAAAAAACTTACTGGAAGTGGCTGGTTGAAGAATTTCCAGTAGAATATTTTCTACTAGAAAAATATAGCTTTCGTAAAAAGGAAAATGCTCTGCAGGTTATATCAATTTGGACAAATATTTAAACAAAAAAGTCTAAATGGATCCTCAATTTCTTTTGTTTTGTAACTCGTCATTTGCTAAGGCAAAACTTTTCATTTTGGTATTGTAAAACATTTTGTTTGCGCTGTTTGTTATTTTTATGTTCCGCTAAACTATTATAATGGTGTATATTTTCATGTAATAGCCACTACGATTTCTTTATATTTTCAAGCAAGATGATGCAACATCACTGAATTAAACCTTTTTCTATGTCCAAGCAACAACAAAGAGTTCAGGGTTTTCAAAACATGGGAAACTTGACAATTTCTGCATTTTGTTTTAATTTGAAGTAGAACCAGCTTTGTTTCCAAACAATTCCACCACTGTGATTTCAGTGCAATTCCTTCAAATATAGTTGCACGTTATGCAACAGAAACGTTCTAGCTCCAGCTCTGCTATGGAAACTTTGTTGACAAGTTAAATTTATTTAGGAAACATACCTGCTTTTTACCCTGTGTTTTCTTAAATTCTTCACATGCTAGCCAGAACAAAACATTTTCTTCACTAAATTCTTTCTTTAAAAATTCCTACGGAAAAGAAAAACAAATAAGCAAATGTTAGGATCCAATTTCTCAGTTGTTTTTTCTCTCTTGCTACTACAGCTATTAAAACTGGAAGTCGCCTACACCTAGCTTTAGCACAGTAGGAGTTTACAAAACACAGTGTAGCAGAACCACTGCATTAGTGCACCTGCACACTACCAAGACACAAATGAACAATACTATATTCAGCACTCTAAAAGCACGTTCCAGGAGAATGATGAGCTACGTTTAATCTCAGAGCATATCAGTAACTAACAAGATTTTCTTCTGTCTCCCTTAAATAACTCGAGCAATTTTACAGTTATAACTCAAAATGAAATTAAAAAAAAAAAGAATTCATTAGCAGGTGAGTATAATGAACTATTTTAATGAGAGACAGATCACTTGACATTCTCATCTAGTATCTTTCTGGTTTTTTAATGAGTAAAATCTCTACACATAGAAGTGTTTCTAAACATGATCATCAGTGGCAATAAATTCACTTAAGTAAACTAAAGCAGATGTATCTGCATTCTCTAGACAGTGTTTAAACAAAGCACATTCCTCCAAAAGTGAGGCATGTTTTAAAATGGGGAAAAAATGTACATTAAATTTCTTTAGAAAAAATAACGATTCAAATATTTATAGCACTGAGATCATCAGTTTTCACTTTCAAGTGTTAGAAAACAGAGATTAAGTTAAGGCCAAGAATTAAATAGCACCAAGATTACTTTTTTAAAAAAAAAAAAAAGAATTCTAGATCACAGTGTTTTGTAATTCTGGTTTACATCACTTTTCAAACCAGTCTGGCAGGAAATCACTTTATCCCAGCACATTTTATCAGTACTTGGTATGGCAAAACCATACTCAAGTAGGTCGTTCCCATTCCTGTAGCTAATATGGCAAGAAGGCCTTGAAAAACCAACTCGTCGTCCTCACCTAGTTAAGGTGAGCCTGCATTTTGAGCTGCACAAGCCCACACTTTGTAGTAAACTTAAAGGGAATTCTTTTCAGTACAGCTGTGGCAACACAGAATAAGAGCCATGCAGAATTATCAGGCTCAGGAGCTGTTAGTGGTAACTCGCTGCTTAAATAGGCACAAAGTATGAGAATAAAGAGCGCAGGATCCGTCCTCAGTGATAAATTAACTTGGCAAGAGGGATCGGTGGCTCAAGAACTGCAATTTATCCAACAGCAACTTGTTAATCCTTGCAACAGCTGACAGATCCTCTTAGAAATATGCAACCAAAAGTCTGCTGTGTGCCTCACGAGAGCAAGCTGCAGCGGCACTGGGCAAAACGCACTACCTCAGAAGCTCAGCAAATGCCACAGCTCCAACTCTGCCACCTCTGCTCAGGGTGCATATCTAGAAGGACGTATGCCTGCGTGCTTACAGCACTGGCACAGCTGCACCATTTGTGCTGAGACTCATTCAGCTTTAAATCCTAATTTTGGTTTATATAAATATCCATAGTTAACAGAGCAACCCTAAATCTTTTCACTCCTTCTGGATCTTCGAGGAGGTTCTCCAGTGATGTAGCCCATTTTGAGGTTCCTTTCAAGGTTTGGTGGCTGCTGCTTGGGTGACCCTCGCTGTCATTTATCTCTGGAAAAAAAAAAGAAAAAAATGCCATCTTCGTTAGAAGTGATTAATGCCACATGCATTTCTTTCCCATTGTCCTCTGGACCCTTGGATTACAGCTGCTCTCTTTAAAGGAAACACCACAAAACTGAAAATGAAAACACACACACATATTTGAATTCTGCTTTGCCTCTAAGGAGGAAAAAATGCCTTGCAGTTAGATAACTCCTGAGTATGTAAGCAGGCACTGTCACTGTTTTATACAAGTTCAAGCACCTTTTGCATGTGGAACACCATGACCGCAGCCCGTGTAATAAAAGGACCATTTACCTTTTGTTCTGGCACTGTCAACGACTTTGGCTCCTATAAAGCAAATCCTGATCAGTCATACACATGAAATTTATTTTTAGGAAAAGAACCATCACTGGAGGTTGGGAAAAGGCAAAGAAGGAAGGAAAAATAATGCTTTGTTTAGCAGGAGGACAAGCCCAGTCTAACGGGAGGAAAAACAGCTGGCAGAGGAGCCTCATTCCAGCTGAGTCGACCTGTTATCGGGCAAGTGGTATTTGGGTGCGTTTTCTGTTTGTGTGTTTGTTTTCTAGAATTTCTGAAATTCTGCCTCTGTAAGGGGTACTGAACCGTGCCCACACCTTATCTGCCAGCCAGCCTTCTCACAGACAGGAGAGACGGTGTTTGGTTCTGCGTTTTTCTATCCCAAGGACAAGTATGTACATCCAAGGCTGCTGATGCCAAAAGAATTGTTTGCTGGCTGGCTACCCATCAGAAAACCTATTACTTGGGAAGACTCCAGGAATGTTACTGCTGGTCTGAAAAACTCTAAACCAGACATAAAGCGCTTGGCTTCCTCTCCTCTCACACCCGAAACGCCCAGGGAAGACAGCAGGAGCGCAGGCCATGAGAAGGCAGGCTAAGAGCTCCACTTCGGACCACTGCACACCAGAAAGGTGGACAAAACTCTCACTGTAATCAACACAGCTTCTATTTATTTTTATAACTCCCTTCCAACTTATTAGAAATATGGATCTTAGTAACTTCTGCTTGAGCTCTGTTAAAAATCCCTTCCTCCACCACGAAACTAAACCTCAACAAGTATCACAAAAAACGATCTATGCAGAGCTGTACTATCAGATGCCCTTTCAGCTGGTAGCTAGAATGATAAATGCAAAGGCTAAAGCCCTACAAAATACTGGTACGACAGCAAAGCCTGCAGAGTTTTGGTTGGTAGGGACCTGTAGGGTCTATTTGTTTTTCCAACAGTGAGATGGACCACTGTTTTAAATGAATGAACACCTCTTCTCCCTTGACAGGAGCGGGTTCTTTACACAGGAGAAATTACAAAGCTGGAAAAGAGGTAAACTTTCTGGAGCTGTGGATTCCATACCCACTGCCTAGCTCTGAGAGATCTACACTCATGCCCCAAGTAAATGCAGATGTAAAAAAAAAGGAATGCGCCTAAAATGATGGAGCAAATGGTCACTGCAGGCTACGTTTTTCATGTATAAACCCTGTGACTCTCCTTTGCCTGTCCTGCTCTCACTCTGTGATGAAGTTACCAGCACCAACCTGAAATTTCTTAAACAACGAATGCATGACTCTACGTTTGCACGAAACCTTTCGGGATCCAAGATTATAACCAATTTGGGTAAGGACTGGGACAGATTAGTCTCCAAAGCAGCAAGTATACCTACAGCCCTGCTTAAGAAAAGCAATCCCCCTGCAACCCACAGTCTGCTAGTTAAAGGTCAAAAGTCAGAACCTGAAGACGGTCTCCAAACCACTATGGCAGACTTCACACGTGACGCAACAGTATAGTGAGTTAACTGTGCCTCAGCTTCCCCTCTCCTCATGCTAAAGGATGTGGTTCTTGACTATCACTTGCAAAATTTAGTTTAGGAACCTGACTCAAAGTATGTGGGCACCGAATCGCCGTAAAATCTGTGAGATTTAAGCGGGAATACCCAAGTACGTTGTAGCAGAACACAATTACCTCTGAGGAGCTTGAATCTCTTGTTATGATCACACTCACCTGCAAGCAGACTGGCAGCTCTGTGCACACAGCTGCTAACGGCCTGAAGAACCAGGCCATTCCCTTATTTAATATGTGATTTAGCACAGAACGCACAGGAGTAAGGGTTTATTTCTAGTGTTTCTTTTCCAGCCAAATTTTAAGTGGACTTTAATGATTACTTTGAAAAGCAGGTATTTCAATGAGCCAGTGCAATACAGGGTGTTCCCAGCACCATAAGAACCCCAAAAAAATTTCTGGTGAGCAGACAAAGGCTAGAACAAGTGCCTCCACTACCCAGGATGCATCGATCTACTTCCCCTCAGCTGCTTTCACTGGTGCCTCACGTTCTCTCTGTGCTCCCCAACCACTGTTCACCCCAGCTTCCTCTCACTTCCAGCTTACCCAGCACAACCCAACTCCATCCTCTGTTTATGCTCCTCCTGCTCCTCTTCGTCATCCCTCCAAGCGCACCTCCCCTTCCCTCCACCTCCTCCTCCTCTAGCCTCAGAGCAAATTTTGGTTTCGAAGAGAGGGCCTACCCGACTTCTTCCTAATCCATCCTGCTGTGCCCTGTTGTACAGGACTCTGCTTCTCAGTTTGTTTTCCCACTTAACCAGCTCCTCACAACCCCCAGATTACCACAGCACTGAGACGATGCTTGCCTGTCCGTTGCTCGTACAATGCAACCCTTTCATTTACCCCTTGCCTCGCTTATTCAAGCTGGGAGTTGCCCAGAGCAGAGGCTATGGGATGTCACAGGTGCTGGGCAGCTCCGCCGTGCCAGCACGGGTGCCACCAGCAGCCGCAATCCCAGCTCCAGCCTGGGCTACAGCTCCCAGCATAGCTCACAGGGATGCAGGGGACACCAGCTGTGGTGTTGCGATGGAGGCAGACCCTCAGATCGCTTGTACATAATATATACAAGAGGCCAGAGGACACTCTTGGATTCTGCTATCAGGTACTGCAGCACAGCTCTTGTCCTGAGCACCCCCCAAAACCACAGTAACTTCATCCAAACAGCCTGCTGGGGACATCTCCTGGCTGGGACCACCTTGTCAGCTGTGCTGGGGGAAAACATGGCTGGCAAGGGCCAAAGCCATGCCAGGGAACATGCCAACAGCTCTGCAGGGCTCAGGTCTGTGTGGTGGGCACAGCACTGATCAAGCTCTCTCCCTCCGGGCTGAGTACCATTAATCCCCATGTTCAGTGTCCCTTTGCAACTGCCATAAAACATTAACATCCTCCTTCAGCACAAACGTAAATAGGCTGCACATGATACATGACAGCAGGAAACACTCTGGAATTTTATGAGAATATGAAAACTGCTGGGTATTTTTATTATACCTCATTAACTATGCTATCACAAACATTTTTTCTAATACAAAAGTGACCCCCCAGTTAGAATAACTTCCCACTCCACATGCTGATTTCGTTCAGCAGATTTGATGTGTGATGTCTAAATATTTTTTTGAGCTTAAAAGACAGGAAAGAGGTTTTCCCCACTAATGATTCAAGAAGCTAATCCCCAAAACCGTAGCCCATAACACATACTAAATTACCTTTAAAATGATACTTCCACTGAAGTACAATTTAATGAAAGTCTGAAACAATTCATTTTAGAAGGCAATACTGCAATAAAATAAATGTCATTACATGAATGACCCTCCTGAAACCTGTTTATCTCTGTTTGCTACTTGTAAAGGTAAATTTCTCTGTTAAAATCGAGTGACACAGTTAATACACACTTGGAAGTAACGAGCTCGATACCAATGTCTAACAACCAAAATGTATACGTTAGTATGGTCATTTAAATGAGGAAGGCAGACATTTGCCGTTACTGGAAACTGGGAGATAACTTTGTGCATCAAAAAGGGTACTACAAAATGGCAGTTCTCGCACCAATGTTTTTGGAAAAACAACAAACACACAGTGCACAGCAGATGATAAATATGCTGACTACATTTCTTACTGTCAGAAGAGAGTGCTTGTTGTCTTTTATACGGGTTAGAAACAGGGAGGCAGAGAAAGCCAACAAAGCAGAGTCTCTGCTGAAGGAAACTTTCCACTGAGCGTACGACCATAACACAACTGTTGCACGATGTGCAGCGGCCAGCTGCTTCTACAAACACGGTCGATGATTAAGTGCCTGTTTTAACAGCACCATCATTTGAGAGAAGAACCCTACGCTAAGCCAACAAACAGGCAGCTACATGAGCTGGAGCGTTATTTTGGAGATCTGCCTTCCGCCATCACACAACAGCGCTGCCACATTAGACTGCGGATAAAGGCTCTTGGTAAGCGACAGATATCGCATTAACTGTCATTATCAGCTGAAGTGCGATATCAAAAACGGCAAATGTTTGCATTCTCCAAACAGGAACTCAGACTGAAACCACAAAAAGCGTCAATAACATCAAAATGCACAACTTGGTCGCAAGACAAAGCTCACGGTTCTAGCCCTTGCTTTGGACAACCACAAGAAAACATGGAAACTCATCACGCTTGTAGAGATTCAAACACAACTAATTGAGTCAGACGTGCTAATCCATCTGCCTTCCAGAAGGGCTACGCACTACATCGGTCTCCCAAGCTGCTGTCGTTCTCAAACTGTTGACACAGTGGCCTGCGTATCAAACAGCACCTACGCACAGAACCGTGCTGAACGCATCCCTGACCTAAATGCCTATTCCAACTGTCTCTTTCCCATGTGCACTTTTTGCAAACTTCTTAACAAAAAACTACCGGCACACAAGCAGCAGATACGACAAAAGCACCAAGTAAACAGCATATTCCTTATTCTATGTTTAAGCATTAATACACAACGTTAAGAAAGGCCGTCTCAATTTCATCTGGAAGAACTTCTGATCGCATCGCCTCCATTTTCCCTCTTTTCACCTGGAGGTTTCATAAAGCTGCGAGCCATGAACCTTTATTATTCCTTAAGAAGTACTTTAAATACCTTGTCTTTTCCTACGGTCACCAGAATGCCTATCCAGCAACAATCACCAGCCTGGAATTAATAAATCCAAGGTTATGAAACAGTGGGAAACTTCGTAAGTAAGCTGCTGAAAAGGGAAAATTCCCTTACTTTCCATGTATCCAAGTGCCACTGGATGAATCCCCACACAACAATTTTTTCCTAGTAGCAGCTGAATCTCAGACCTTTTCAATATCGAAGGGCTGTCCTTCACATGCTTTGGTTGTTCAAAGCATGAGCCTCAACATCCTCTTTTGACTGTCTCGAACAACAGATGGCTACTGGATTCCACTTTTAACTATAAGGAAGGAAACTAAAGGGACGTTCCGCTTTTGTAGCGCCTCTGGAAGTGTTCACCAGACATACAACCTTCAAAAAAAGAAACAAACAAAAAAAAACCCTCTAGAGAAGCATCACATTTGGTTTCTCTTGGAAAGACTGTAACTTTTTACTGCACGTTACAAAACGCAGTGTTATTTTCCAGGATTCCGAGTTTGCAAATTCCACCCCGATGGTTTTGGCAATGACGTGTATGAGCCCCCTTGCAGCGACGGACTTAGAGCATCAGAGACTCCGCGCCACGAGGCGCCCCGTAGCAGCGGCGACACGTTACACCGCCCGTCTGCAGGGGGAACCGTGAATCCCAACATCTCCCACGCCACGGTACCTTCCACTCCGGTACCGACACCCCCTCCAGAGGCCAGCTCTTCATCCAGAGCCTCAACAACCACGCTCCGATGTCCTGGGCTGCTGCCTCGCTACCAACAGCAGCGACACGCAGCAGTTCACAATTAAAACTTGGCTGATGAGGGATAAGCCCGAGCAGA